CTGGGTATGGAATTCTCTGGGCACTTTGAAGATACTTCATTTTCTTCTGTGTCTGTAGCGTCCTGTTGAGAAGCTTTCTGTTTATTTGACTTTGTTCCTGTGTGAGTACGGGGCCTTATCCCACTTGATTTTTAAACAAAGTGATGTACGTAGAATACGACTCTTTATTTATCCTGCCCAAGGCTTGTGATTCCTCAACATGGAGATGGACATCTTGTGTTCTGGAAACTCGTCGGCCTTTGTCTCTTTGAAGAGGGCCTTTTGTTGCCGAGCTTCCTCTGGAACTGGTCTCGGGCTGTGTTACATTTTACTATTTGTTTTCATTTCCCTTACTCTCTCTTCTCATTTTTTCATGCCATTCTTTGTACAGAACTATACATAGTTGCATAATTACATTTTTCTATTCTTCACAAACTCTCTCTTGAGGTGTGTTTAATCTGATGCTTAATTCTCCAACGACTTTATATTCTTTTCTTTTTAAAAATTTTCGGATTTGGTTCTCTTCTGAACTGCTGTCTCACTTTTTCACAACATCTTGTCGTGTCTTCAGTTTCGTCTTTTAAGGCTGCTGGTTTTCATCTTTCCTGTTTGACAGCCTCAGGTCTGATCATTTCTCACCCAAAGTTCTCAGGTGGCAGTGCCAGTAACCGCTGTGTTTCCTGCTCTCACTCTAGTGGGTTGTTTGTTTACAGAGTTGGTCAATTTCTATTTTGATCCTGCCAGTGGGGCTTTATCTGTGGGAGTCCCACGTGGCCTGGGTTCCTCCCCCCAAGCTGTTGTTCCCTTCACCTGCCTTGGGCTTTGGGGGCCCCCCTGGCTCACCAGCATATTTAATGTGAATTCCTTGTCTTGAGGGTCTTGGCCATGCTGGTCGTGTAAATTCAGATTCTGGGTCTGTGCTGAAGCATGTCTAGGATTACACGTTTTCACTGTGTAGACAGATTTGCAGACTCCCTCCTCCGTGTTAAGCCCAAGCCAACACAGATGCTTCCTTACCTTCCTGTGCCAGTGCACAGTATACATTTAAAAAAAAATAGACTGTTATCGCCAGTGGGGTAACTGTCAATCTCTCGGCATTATTCTAGGTAGGGGTGTGGTGGGTGGGGTGGGGAGGATTGTGTATGGGTCTCAATTCCATTCTCTTCTCTTGGTTGTCTTTTCTGTCCTACTGGTATCAAGATTCAAGGTCCCATTTCTGAATTTCTTCCGTAGAACAAAGATTTTTACATCGTTTTGTCAGCCATGTTGCTGGAAACAAATCCTCATTGCAGTGGGTGTGTGTAGTGTTGTGTGTATTGATGATTTGATTGCCGTTCCCTCTATACATTTGTTGTTAATCGGGCATTCGTGTAATGACTGCTTTGCTTGGTCATTCATTCTCTCAGCAGATAATTATTAAACCAATATTGTTAATTTGAGGTCAGGTATTGAGTTTATGTGCCTGAGTGAAAAGTAGTGCTTCTTCTCTTGTGTCTTGTTATACATAGGTGTCTTTAACATTGAGGGACGCAAGAGTTTATTAAGGAGCGATCCATAAACAAATCAGTGCAAACATACAGACGTGGAAATTTGACAGGAGCAGAGTTAGCACCAGCCATGGCAGGAGACCAGCGGCCTGCCCTCCGGAGCCCTCCTCCCCCCCCCCCCCCCCGGAGCTCCATGTCCCTGGCCGTGAAAACCCCTTTCTCTCTCCTTTGTGCCGACTTGCAGTTTTCCAGAGTGGCAAAGAGGAACCACGGTCTTGCTTATTAATACTCTACCAGAAGTGGTTTTTAAGAGGCAATCACAGTTTTTTATTAAACTTTTCTCAGACGAGCTCAATATCAGTTATGTTGCAGACAAGATCAGGGATGGCTGGAACTTTTGGAAACACAGTACTAGGGAGTGTGGGGGTGACCTCCAGTTTTCTCAGATGAGCAACAGTGAGGAGGCCGTGCAGGTGTAGCTATTAGCGTGCAGACGAGAGCCTGCCTTGCTGATACGACATAGAGGCCATTCAGTAGGAAACGTATCGTTAATGTTGATGTAAAAATAAAATTTTTAAGGCAAGCAAGCTCTGTAATAACTTCTCTGTACACACTGAATTGCAATTCCAGTGTTTTCATCTCACCCCATTGCTTTTTCCCCCACGAAACTTGTGAGAATATAACAAGAAGTTTTCGTTTCTGTCGAACCTGTCAGTTCTCTTTTCCTCTTTCTTTGTAATTGTCCACTTGGATTTTTAATGCGATTATGTAGAAAGGCATTAAAGGTGCTTCTGGTTCATACTATTATAAATAATGTCCAATTAAGTAGCTTTATCAATATAATTTTTTCTTTTTTTCCAGTTTTGATAAGATGAATTCCAGGACTGAAAATTTTAAGCCAAAGTGTATGAGACATATCAATCCTGTATGGTCTTAATGTTTCCAGAGAAATTGCACTAATTAGTTGAGTTTCACTACCACTTTCCTTATTGCTGCTTATTCTAGAGTGTTTTGCAGAACTGTTCTGCCTGGCATCATATTTCCAATGATGGTAGCATAAATTATTTTGTAAAAGAATATGTAACTGGTGCTCTGAAATGAGATCAGATTAATTAGCGAGAAACTGTCACTTTAGCTTTTAACTCCCTTGTTCACATAGTTAAAAAGCGTGGGTTTCTTGGTGGGAAGACATTGGGAAGGTGGGGAGTTGGGAGGCTAAGTGTCTACAGCGTGGTCACTAGTTCTGTGGCCTGAAGCAAGGAACTCTATCTACACACTTCAGATTTCCTATTAGAAAGTGTATTACTTGAAAAGAAGTAATGTGCGTGCCTATATTGGGACTTAAACCCTAAAGTCAGTCAGATTAACCATCTTCAGAAGTTTCAGAAGAGAGTGAGAAAGAAAAGAGGAATGTAATCAAGAAAAGCGCTGTTGCGATGTCGGTGGCCGCGCATGCGTGTGCCATTCGTGGCCCTAGGAAAGTACAGAACAGTAAAGCGTGTGATTGTATCATTTAATTTGAACTCTTCTGTCTGCAAAGCACCGAAAGGTCTGGAAGCATAAACAAAAAAAGTGAACAGTCTTTTAGGATTTACAGTGTTTCGATGGTGTCACAAGAGGCTTTGCTGTCTTTTAAACAGTAGAAAATACCGTGGACATGGTGCCCTTGTGAATGCTGGGCTGGATGAAAACTTGGTTTGGTTTTTTTTTTTCTGTAAGGCTCTGTGGCTGTAGTTTAACTTCATTCGAAACAATTTTGTTAGATTGCATTGCAACAGCTGTCACATCAGTGTGTATTAAAAAAAACTTATCGAACCTGGCAAGTTTTTGTGTAGCCATTTTAATATTGAAGATGGAAGAAAATATGCAACGCTGTCACTGTTATGCTTTATCATTACAAGAAAGATAAAAACAATGAAATGCAAAAACAAGATTTGTGCGGTGCCTGGAGAAGGTGCTTTGATCAATGGAGCATGTCAAAAGCGGTTTGTAAAGTTTCGTGCTGGAGGTTTCCTGCTGAAGTTTCACAGGCGGGTGGGCCAGTGAAGTTGACAGCAAATCAGATCGAGACATGAGTTGAGAATGATCGGCATTTTGCCCCATGGGAGGCAGCTGACGTACAGTATCCAAATCAATAAAGTTATTGGTGAAAATGAAAAAATGTGTTTTATTTTATGGAAAAGACTAGACAGACTTTTTGGCCGACCCAGTAGTTATGAGTAGGATTTTTCTAAGGTATGCTCTGCGATACTTTTTATTTATTTTTTTTACTAAAAACATAATTGATTTTAATATGACTTTGACATTTTGATTAAAAGTAGGTTGAGGAAACTTGAATCTTTACTGTTGTAGTTTACAAATGTATTAATGTTTAATCCTGACCTGTATGACCTCTTTTTCAGTAAATAATAATAATACAGTTTATGTATTTGATATAGAAGGTAGATGGATACATTTCCTTCAACAATTTAACTAAAGTATTTTTCTTAACACTAGGGGGCACTCTTGATTTAGGAATTTATATCCATATATGCATAGAATGTAGAATGAAATGAAATTATTTAAAAACATTTCAGTGCAAACCGAGTGTTGCCTTCAGAGAGGATTTGGATTTTCAAGCTCACCTGATGTAGCAGTGTAACTATAAATTGGTCTTCATAGTGTTGTTGGGATAGTGAAGCTTATCAAATGAAATACTGGGGATTGGAGGCAGTCGAAGTATTCCTATGTCTAGTCATTTTCACATTGATTTTTCTAAATGAAGTTTAAATGGTTTTAGAGACCATCATTTCTAATACATTTTTTTCAATAAAAAAAAAAAAACCCAGCAGAGTGTTTTGCTCTGAGCTGCTGCCGAGGATAGAGCTGAAGAAATGAAGATGGACGGGAGACGTGCCTGCCGCCTGCTGTCGTCAGAGCGACTTTAAACCACAAGCTCTGATGCGTCTGGGGGGCGGGGCGGGGCGGGGCCGGTGTCAGTCACAGTCTGCGGTTAGGGTTGTGGCCACGCCCACCAACGTGTATTTCTAAGGTTTCTGTCTTCTTTAATTGTAGACTCCATGGATTTCAAGCTTTGTGTGGATGAAGTAGGTAGTAAACGAAATATGCATCATCCTAATAGCACACTTACCATGCGTCGACCCTGTTTTAGGTGCTTTGCAGATATTAAATCATTTTTTCTCATCGCAGCTCTGTGAAGTAATACGCCCTGGCTGCTGTGGCTCAGTGGATTGAGTGCTGGCCCCTGAACCAAAGGGTCGCTGGTTCAATTCCCAGTCAGGGCACATGCCTGGGTTGCGGGCCAGGTCCCCAGTAGGGGGCACATGAGAGGCAACCACACATTGAAGTTTCTCCTTTCTCTTTCTCCCTCCCTCCCCCTCTCTCTAAAAATAAAATCTTTTTTAAAAAAAGAAAGACTTCAGTATAGTTGGAAAAAAACCCTGTTTCTTGACATAGTGACAGGCGTGGATTGGTTTCCTTAAATGTCCCATAAAAACTAAACACCCATTTAAAATTTCCTGCGTGTTTTTACAGGCACAATGATGTATTTGTGGGCGTGGACGTGAAGCAGGCAGTCCGTCGTCCGAGCTGGCGGCCTAGCGCCGGGCCGATGGTGCGGGAAGATGGACCTGACCGACGGGCAGGCCGGCAGTGCCAACACCGCGGCTACCGCTTCCGAGGTGAGCCGTGGGCGGGTTCCGTGGTGCGGTTTCCTCCTGACGCTCTGACTTGTCACGTGTGATGGTTGGTCACAGGTTTAAATCAGGTTTGACTTTCCATGGAGTCTCCTGGCCATTGACTTCTGCCGTCACAGCGCCTGGCTTCTGACCTGTGCCTGGAGGTCCTGACCCCAGTAGCGTAGTCCTTGAAAAAGGACTATGCATTTTTAGTTTTTTAAAAAACTGTTTTAATTGTACCGTTCACATGTTCCCTGAGCATCTTAGCAACAGCTAATCTCTATCCACTTAAGATGCTTGACAGGTAATGATTCCTTAAAATCCTTTCTTGGGTTTAGTTTTCAAGGACACTTAGAATTTCTTTTATGCGTATATTTACTGTATATAAACCTTGAGGGCAGTAGTAAAATTGAAGCAAAGAAGGATTCTTTTATTTGGAATTATGTGAGTTTGGGTGCTGTCTAGACCCCTTGGTTCCAAACCCACGGGAAGGAAGAGAACAGAGGACACTGGGCAGGAGCAGGAACTGGCTGCCCCCCAACGGCGGAGGCAGAACCTGAGCCTCGCCTCTCTTTTCTCTTTCATTTTTGCCTCTCCTTTTTTCCTGTTTGTTTGGTCTATAAACCTAGGGTACTTGCCTGCTTTCTGTAGTAACTTTTAGCATCAAGCGTCTGTGTTTTTTCCTTTATTTTTCTATATTATGTAACTTGAGAATGATGGCCCGTTTAACACCTTGGCCTCTAATGTCTTTAATAACTTCAACTCCATTTTGCTCTGGCCAGTTACTTGGGCCTTGCTGTCACTGAAATTAGTCTTAAGTCCGTGCCTTCGACTGTTTTTCTGGTGCAGATGATTTCCGTATCGTTATCTCTGTCTCTGGCTTCGGCTTCCCTCACGAATGTTTCTGATGGACCAGGCACTTGACTTACAGTGAACAAAGTCAAGTTCCTGCTGCGCAGCGTGGAAGGAAAACAGTCCAGCCCCTCTCATGACTTGCGTTAACAGCACCCCCCTCCCCGAGCTAAGTTCAAATCTTCAGGTTTCTCATTCCCTCGCTGCCCCTTTGCCCACACTGTCGTTCTCTCTCCGCGACCTGGGAGCGTCGGCCTGCACACCACAAGCCACCTGCCGTCTGTGACGTAATCCTGGACGCTCCATCCCGTCACCTCTGCTTCTTACTGCACAGAAAATACACTTGGTCTGTCCTTCAAAGTCTGTAACTACATACCCTGAAACATTTGTCTAGTATTACAGGAAGCAGTACACAATTATTTGTTAACTAACTTCGGTCATTCCACTGACATAAAAAAATTTGTTGAGGTGCCCAGAAGGGAAAGAGTGACATGAGCCTCGGGTTTTTCCTGGCGATTGACTTCTGCCGTCGCAGCGCCTGGCTTCTGACCTGTGCCTGGAGGCCCTGACCCCGGGAGGGTGCAGTGAACTTTGTTTCAGACGGAGAAGTGTGTATGACGCCTTGTGTTGAGTAGAGAATTACCACCTCTGCTCTTAGTGGAAGTACTCGTTAGTTCCTTATCGTTACCCACCTGTTTATGGTACTGCAGAAGCAGATGGAAAGCACGTCACTCAGAATTGTAAGGACGAAGGGAAAGTGATTACTCATTTTCATGAGCAGTAAAATTACCATTGTGATTTGCTGCCGTGTCTTGAATGAGTTAAAAACTTGGAGAGAATTACCAAGGTATGTTTAATTATCGGTTATTACCGACAGAATGTAATTAGTTATTTGGGCAGTTGCTGGAAACTGATGTCTGTTTGAACGCTTAACATTATGAATACCTACAACCAAGACTGCTCTATCCAGCAAAACTTTCATTTAGAATGGAAGGACAGATAAAGTGCTTCTCAGATAAGACCAAACTCAAGGAGTTCATCATCACCAAGCCCTTATATGAAATGTTAAAGGGACTTACCTAAGGTAAAGAAGATAAAAAATATGAACAGTGAAAGGACAGCAAACTCACAGTTTAACAACCACACCTAAAACAAAAAGCAAACGAAAAGGACAGCTAGATCAGGAGTGGAAACATAGAAATGAAGATCACATGGAGGGTGAGCAACAGGGGAGTGGGAGGAGGAGGGGGGAGAAGGTACAGAAAATAAGTAGCATAGACAGTAGATAGAAAATAGATGGGGGGGCAAGAATAGTATGGGAAATACAGAATCTAAAGAACTTGAGACAATGGTCATAAACTAAAGGGGGGGTAATGGCGGGGACGGGGGGTAGGGTGGAGGGGAATGAAGGGGGGAATAGAACAACTGTAACAGCATAATCAATAAAAAATAAAAAAAACATGAATAAAGTTTTGTATTAGTCTTAGGACATAAAATAATATTGTTGACATACTGTAAGCTTGTCACAGTTGTGGAGATTAAACACAAGAAATAAAACAATAGGTAGGAAATCCACTTGTGGGACTTTGGATTTCTTCTCAGACACGGAAAGAGCTTGGAATTCCTCACCCCTGTCCTCACAACATGAGAAAACCGAACACACTGAAAAGCAGGAGCTCTTTTTAGCTCCATCAGAGAACTGATGTCACAGCGCAACCTGACAACGATGCCCGAAAAACTAGGGAGAGGGGCGGACACAGAGGTTCACCGTTTGTGAGCGCAGAAGTCGCTGGAGCGAGGAAGGAGCGGGACAACTGAGTTCACAGTTGACCAACTGCTGGAGGTGGCGTGTGGGCTATTAAAGACCCCTGGGGGGCCCAGTCTTGGGCTCCCGCCCCTACTCTCGTGAGTTTTACCTCTGGGACCACCACCAGGTTCTCACAGTGAAGATCAGAGAAAAACCCCTCCTGCTTCCAGCAAGGGGAGGGGAAGGCAACCACTATGAAGGATGCCCAGGGGACGTAATAGTTTTGAAGTGTGCCCGGTGCATTCTGTTTTCGGTGAGCTCAAGGGAAACTGTCAGAGCCTAGCCTACCTGGGGCAAGAGAAATACCCACCGCCAAGCGCTCTAGCCTCCCTGTCTACTTTGTAAGGGGAGAAGGGGCACTGAGAAGGTCACAGGTCAAGGGCAAAGGCTCGGTGAAGGGCCTGATGTAGGCTGAGGAAGGCTTCTCACCTCATACCGTACCGCCACGTCCACCAGATCCGCGGGGCTGCTGTGGAATCAGGGAGCGGGGCTGAGAGAACGGCCAGGCACAGGTGCCCACGGAGGAGGAGTTTCTAGAGAAACCCAGAGACAGTGGGTTGGAGAGGAACCAGGACACTAGGGGAAACAGGACACTCGGGCACCTCCTCCAACGACAAAGAGTAAACAGCATAACTGCCGCTGAAATAAACGTAGGCCGTGCACCGTGGGCCTTTTCACCTTCCTGTTACTCAATACATTGTGTCTGGCCTTTGATAAACTGTAGTGCAGGCTAAAGGAAAGAAAAAACAGTCAGAAGAGACAGAGCCAGCAACAGAACCAGACTCAGGTACGGCAGAGACTGGGGAATGATCAGACCGGGGGTTCACCAAGGCTAACGATGCTGGGGGCTCTCGTGGGAAAACGGACAGCGTGCGATGACAGGCAGTGCAGAGTCGAGGAAAGAATCAGTGAGCCTGAAGATGTGCTGGCGAGAACTTCCCAAAGTACAATGCAAAGAGAAAACGGAATGAAAAACGGAACGAAATAATATCTGAGAACTGTGGGACAGCAACAGAAGGCGTGGCGCATGTGGAATGGGACTACCAGACGGAGAGAGAGGAGCAGAAGAAAACGTTGACCTAATAGTGGTTAAGAACTTTCCAAAGTTGATGATGGATCCCTTCCTTTGTAACTTAGCTGCTCCTCAAAGGGAGGGGGAAGGTAAAAATGAGGCATAGTGACAGGTGCTCAGAAGTGATGTGTAAAAACAGCTGAGAGGTTGACATATACTGTATCTTCGTTATTGAAACTTCGGTCAGTTCTTTGTGTCGTTAACTGTGGCCTGATTTCCTGCCACCATTAGGAAAGTTTTTTCTAAATATTCCAGTGACGATGCTCTTTTTTCAGCCGGATGATGCAGAATACATTTTTATCTTGTGACACAGAGAAGTGGAAATTGAACAGAAATGAGGTTTTCAGAGCCAAAAGCCACCTCTTTTGGTTCTACATGAAGCAACAGCAAATTCAAGCTTAAAAGCAGGAAACAATTTGTAATCAAACAGGAGGGACGGTATCAATTATACCATCATAGAGAGACATTCACTTCAAAAATGAGGTGGGGTTATTCAATTAATGGGGTTCTGAATTTTTTTTAGTAAAAATGAGTTTAAAAATTATCCTTCTCTCCTAACTACCTTTTACCCTATTTGAAAGTCACCGAACTTGTTAAAATCTTTCATTTCTATAGGAAATGGTAGGATTGTCAGGATGAGGAAGCTGGCAGACAGGAAAATGACTCACTAAGGAATCTAGAAATCCAAAGCTGGGGTTAGAGTTCAAGTTGCCTGACCCTCAAGTTGCCTGATGCTGTTCCTGTGAGCTACCCGTCCCGCCCAGCTTGCCTACAGCGTCTGTTAACCCACTGCACTCAATTTCCTCAGCTTTTTTTTTTTTCCTCTAAAGATTTTATTTTTTAGAGAGGGGAAGGGAGAAAGAAAGAAAGAGAGGGAGAGGAACATCATTGTGTGGTTGCCTCTCACATGCCCTGCACTGGGGACCTGGTCTGCAACCCAGGCATGTGCCCTGACTAGGAATCGAACCCGTGACCCTTTGGTTCGCAGGCCCGCGCTCAATCCACTGAGCCACACCAGCCAGGGCTCAGTTTCCTCAGTTTTTAACGTCAGTCTCGTTTTTGTGATGTTGACTTGAGACAGTATTAAAATGGCTGCATTTTCTTCTAATTTAACAGAAAAGTAGCAGTTCCGAATCATTAAGTGACAAGGGTTCTGAGTTGAAGAAAAGCTTTGATGCCGTGGTGTTTGATGTTCTTAAGGTTACACCGGAAGAATATGCGGTAAGCCTCCCCCCTCCTTTCTCCCTTTTTTTTTTGCACATAATTTACATATGGTGCTATGGTTAGAATTGGTAGGAACAGCAGAGGAGATGGTAAAAAGGGAGGGAGGGAGGGAGGGAGCTGGGTGTGGGAATTAATAGGGAGAGTAGCCCAGTGATGGAGCAAGCAGAGGGATACACTGGGGAAGGGAGAAGAGCTGTAGGCATTTTTAGAGCAGCTCTGTGAATTTCACTCTCAGCTCGGTAAGTAGTATTTACCCTCACGGGTCGTTGCTTTCGAAGACCCTCCCTGTACCACTGCCCAAGCCAACAGTGCTGGATTGACATGTTAGAAGTATTTTTACTTTTTTTATAAATTAAAAAATTGAAAAGTGAAAGTTGAAGGCATTATTGCAATATCATGAAAGTTACCTGGAAAACCTTTTTTTCCTTAACTGCCATGAGTGTTTATGTTCTCTTTCTCTGGTAACTATCCTAATCAATATCAGGATATATTGATTTCCTGATATTGAACCACTCTTTTTTAAAAAGATGTTACTTCTTTATTTTTAGAGAGTGGGGAAGGGAGAGAGAAAGGGAGGGAGAGAAGCGTCCATCTGCAGGAGAAACATCGGTTGCTTCTCACACACCCCCAGCGGGGGACCTGGCCCGAAACCCAGGCACGTGCCCTGGCTGGGAATTGAACCAGCGACCTTTCGGTTTGTGGGACTGTGTCTGACCCCCTGAGCCCCACCAGTCGGGGCACATTGAACCACTTTTGCAACCCGGGAGCGACCTGTGTTTGGTCACCGCACATGATGATGACCGTGGTCGGTGCAGCCGTTGGGTCAGGCCCCCGACACTCGCTCACTGCTCCGTGACCCAGCGGGGCTGATTTTTGGTTGTGGTTTGATGCCACATAAAACCATGCTCAGATTTTGAAAATTATTTTTTATTTTCTAACTTCACTGCATTTATTTCACAAGAAAGTATGAATAGGTGTGTGAGATCATTAGAAACACGTATAGTTGGAGGTCAGGTAGGTATAAGACAGTAAAGGGAGAATAAATGGTGCTGGAAGGAGACTTGACTTGGGATGTTGACCACACAGTACAATGTACAGAAGATGTGTTACAGAATTGTATACCTGAAACCAATATAATTTTACTAACCAATGTCACCTCAGTACATTCAATTAAAAAAGAAATATTTACAGTTAGCGGTACACAGGCTAAATTTTCGTTTTCTTTAGCCCTTATAGGTTGAGGTTTTTCTGGTAAAGATTTGATTGTTCGATCTGTTTTAGTGTGGCATATCATTCTAATTTAGAATCCATGTCATATCATGGAATTCCAAAGAAGAAATTGTCATTTTTTTTTACTTCTTATTTCAGGGTCAGATAACGCTAATGGATGTCCCAGTATTTAAAGCCATTCAACCAGATGTGAGTAGTGTTATAAACTTCTCTTTTAAATATGCAAAGTAGGCAATTATAGTATTCCAAATTAAGGAGTTTTAGAATTATGAAATTATACTTCCTAAATTTTAAATGTTTAAAGCTCTTGATGTGACTTGTCTGTGTGTGTATATACGTGTGTGTGTATTTTAGAGAGAGAGAGAGAGAAAACATGATTTGTTGACTGATCAGTTACTGATGCCTTCATTGGTTGATTCTTGTATGTGCTCTGACTGGGGAGCGAACCACAGCTGGTGCATTTGGGTGACACCCTGACCAGTTGAGCTACTGTAGGCCAGGCTCACTTGTTCGTGCATCATTCAGGCCTCGGAAACTCACGTGGCCTGCGTATACCACTGAGTCATAGGGAGGTCTGTGTGAGTCATTTTGGTTGATTTGGCTTCATCACTTTAATGAAGGGGGAAGTCAACTTCGGAAGGCTGAGTGATTTACCCAAGGTTTTGAGGCTCTTCACCTGGAGAGTGGGAATAAGATATTGGGTCTCACCACTGAGTCCAGTCATCTTTTTCCTCATACCTTTCTTTTATGACTTTGTGTTGACATTTTGAAGAAAAGAGCATCAAGGAAGGCATTTTGGGGGGGTTTTGAAGAAGGAGAGAGACGTTTATTTGCATCTGCCCCCACTAAGGCACTGTCAGTGCTCACACAAGGGAAGGATTTCGGGGCTGGGCTGGGAAGCCCAGGGCTGAGGCCAGGGAGCTGAGGCGAGTTTACGGCAGGCGCAGGGCAGGAGGCGAGGGGTCGGGTGAGGGCGAGGTGGTTTGCCGCCTTGAAAACCATGACTCATGTCATCAAGGTTACTTTACATCTGGCAACATGCACAGGACTTGTCGTCTGGCGGAAAAAGGTTTTCTGGTCTGTCGTGCAGGACTGACTATAAGATGTAAAGAGCCAGACGAACCCTTATGTACCTGCCTACCCAGCGCTGTTATGGCCGCTCTGCCTTCTCCCTCACTCACCTGCCCCCTCCCCTCCCCTCCTCCCACCCAGGGAGCGTCTGCGTGGTTCCCGCACACCCAGGCACACCCAGTGTATCTCCCACAGGCACACAGACCCCTCGGCGGTGTGTGCTGTCACGGGCCTACATTTTCTGTGTGCCTGCATCCTGTTCGCTGCCTTCGTGAACGCGCTCCTCGTGCCCGGCGTTCACGCGGACACACGCTCTCGGGTACACTGAGTACTGAGTCGTACAGCACGAGCATCTTCCAGTTATTTTCCCCAGTGTATTGTGTCAGAACTCTTGATTGTTTATGATGCCAGCCAGTCTTAACAAATCAGTCTGATTTATGAGCATAAATGGTCTTCCTCAGTATGTAGTTAGAATATTAGCTTCGTGAAAGTATGAAGGAATTTTTTTTAATGTAGGAATTTTTTATTAAAATTTCACGAAACATTGTGAAAAGAGTGGTTATCACTGAATCTAGTAAATCTTTCTTCATGTTTTTGTCCACTATACCGAGGTTCAAGTCTCTCTATATTACAAAAAAAAAAAAAACCTTAAAAAAGCTGTGTGTGTGAGTTTGTGTACACATCTATTTCAGAATTGCTCATGGAAAGGGAAAAAAAAGAAAAATTCCAAACCTCTTATTTCACTGTAGCAACTTTCTGCCTTACCTCAAATGTGAAAAATCATTTTTAATTACATAGGCACCGTCCTTAGTCATTGACAAATCCTGGCCTCACCAAATCAGCCCTTCAGAGCAGATCCGAATCATGCAGAACGCCAGCCCTGGCGTGCCTTCATCACACTGCTCATCGCCGCAGATCGAAAGAGAACAACGGAACGGATTTTGATACTAGGCTTTTTAGTTTTTTGTTTCATGGTAGGGAAGAATGGAAAACCGTGTACCGATGAAAAGAACTTAATATGAAAGGAAAGTTCACCGATAACTTTAAGAAATCCTTAGTAAGAATATAATTACATAGAAAAACGTTGGGTTTGGTATTATTTTCTGTGGTTCCCTGTCTGCCTGGTCTGCCCCATCTGCTCGTTTTTGGTGCCAATCAGAAGCCTCCAAGTCATTCTTTCCCCTTCGCCCTTTATCCTCTTTGTCCCGATCGCCCGCATCGCCAGTGGATTTTACCTCCTAAACAACCTGGTCCCCCTTCTCCTTCACTGTAAACTCAGAAGGATGTTTATTGAAAGAGCACAGTGTTTTTACAAGGCTGCCACTCACCTCTCAGGAAGTAGGAGCATCCCTCAGTGTCCGTTTGTCATCGGGCCGGCTCAGCGGGTCACCTGCACTCCAGCCGGTCTCGCTCCCTGGGAACACGCCCCACCGCTCCCCTCCCTGCTGCTGCTGCAGAAACCCAAAGAACCTCCACTCGCCCGCTGGCCCAAGCCGATGGCCAGCTTTGGAAGCGTCTGTGGACAGTCGTGCCTGTAATACAATAAGTGGTTGTCCCCGAGTGGCTGGGAGGAGACTTAGTAACATATTGCTGAGACTTTGATGATAGTGAGTCCAAGAAGGAAGAAGATCAGTGGTTTCGTCATTGACACTCAAGCGCTGTGAATGTGTGTGTCCTTCCCGCTCTTCCCTCCATGGCGTTGCTCACTCTTTTGTCTTTCGTTTAAACCAGTTTGGGGGCCAATTGCCAAATATTTTGCTGCCTCTTACTTCTTTCTTTTTAAATCAGTGTCTTAACATTCACAGCTCTCTGAATGGATACTCAAAAAAAACCAAAATTAATTTTACTTATTTTGGAATTTACTCCAAAAGATATTTTTAGTAGCAAAACTTAAAAGCAAAGAGCCAGAAGACTTACATTTTTGTTTCAGCTTTGCTGTTTATGCCTTGTGCCACCGAGACAATCTGTGTCAGATCTTTGGCCTTTTACTCTTAGGTCTGCGAAGGAGGGGACTTTGGACTACTTGATCTTTAGTGTCTTCGAGGTTTGTGAGAAATTCTGGAAGTAATTTTCAGGGGCGACGTCAGAGTAAGAGCTGCAGCTAGGTGTGGTTCTCAGTACTAAATATGGTTATTACTATTATCATTATCAGTGTCAGTATTATTTTGATAAAACTGCAGGAATCTGAAGGAGGAGGGGCCATGGGTGGTGGGTGGTCTGTCACCCTTCCCAGGAATGGGCAGGAGGACAGAAACTCTTGTCCGCTCATTGGCCGGCGTGTCTCTGGCGGCTCCATCGGTGCCTGTGCGGTGGTGTCTGAGTTCGGCGAGTGGCGTCTGGGCTCTGTGTGCGCTGTGCACCCTGCCCCGCAGGCATGTCGTCTCCCCTCGTGTGTCGTGTTTGGGATCGTCCTGCAAAAACCCAGTTCCCAGACCAGGAGCGGGACTTTTATGAAATAATAGGCTTTCTGTGGAAACAGGACGGGTGGTTTTTTTTTTCCTGCCGCAATTCAGAACATTTTTCAGTTTCTTCCCTTGTATGAATTCTTCGAGGGCAAAAGTTTAGCTGCATGGTTCTGTGCACTCATTAGTCTTCAGTGTGTTTTCTGTGTGTAGTCGGAGCTCAGCTCCTGTTCGGGTGTCCCCTCGTTTCTCATGTGCAGGTCCCCCAGCTGGGTTTCTCTCCTGAGCTCGAAGGGCGGTTTTCTGGCTGGAAGCTCTCACACATTTAGAGGGCTTCCCTCCAGGGTGAGTCCTTCTGTCAGGGCAAAGCAATTTCTCTGTTCTGAAAAGGCTTTTGCATGTTTACCACATGCACAGGTTTTGGGGGTTTTTTGTCAATCATGACCTCTCTGATGCTGCAAAAAGCTTGCGTTTCTTCTGACGGCATTGCCGCGCGTGTTACAACAGCGGGGTCTCTTTCATTGTTAGGTCACTCACCCTGGACTAGATGCCTGCTTGCAGTCAGGCTTCCTCTGCAGTAGCAGTTCTGTGGCCCTACTGTGAGTCTTACGTCAGCAGGAAGCGGTCCATTAGTCGTTCCATTGTGTCCCTGTGCCTCTCCTGGGAGGTTCTGGAGTGTTTACAGAGTCACGGGCTCTGCCTTGCATTCTGTTCCAAGAAGAAAGTCCGTGCTTCATTTGTCCTAGCAGTCGATGCAGTAAGTCATACAGATTATGTCAGCGGACAGACATTGGAACAAAGGACCGAGGAGGCCCTCCCGTGTGCACAGGTGCACTGGAGGCTGAGGACCATTTGGAAAACCTTTCCATAGAGATATTTCCAACAGGATGAGGAACGAGCTTTCTCTCTGCAAACTTTCTCGTGTACGCAGAGAGACTGTGATCTCGGTAACGTCCAACATTCTGACATCAGGAGCATCTTGTGCAGTGGAGAGTATCATTGGCATCAGAACTGAGATGTAAACAGTTCATGAGCATCGATAGTTTAAACAAAGCAAAAGACACCTAGATGTCATGAAGCTTTTCTTGCAGACTGGAATAAACTGATTGTTCTGCTTGCTGCTGTTCTGTCATTTCACATCATTGCTCTTCATCACCATGAACTCCTTTGATACATGGTAAGGTCAGGCTTGGGTTAGAACTGGAGAAGGTACAGAAGACAGTTGTTGACCTGGAGGGCCAGTGTATATTTGTAACTCCTGACTTTATGTCTGATCTTTCGGTAGAGGCAGCTTTAAGGTAACAGGAGGAGGGGGAAGGAGAGAATGTGAGTGCGTTAGAAAAGAGAAGTGGTATTTTTGATCTAACATATTACATTGGCGTTACATAGTTTGAGGAAGGAAGCTGTTTTCAAAGCTTATTCCGTCGATTAAAAATACAGGAATCATAGAATTTCATCTGTGCCTGAAACATCCTTCTAAATGGCCATGTAGGCTGGATGCTGCTGGATCTGCTGTATCCCTTGAAAGCTTCCCACTTCAGAGCAGGAAAGTCTAGGCAGCCGATACCCTCTCGGGAGGAGCCACTCCCCACCCCCCACCCCGCAGCCTTGTACACATCGTTCTTTCTGTTCTTCCTCCACCTCTGTCTACGTGCCGCTCTATCTTGGCCTTTTCTGTCTATAGGTGTCCCTCCACCACCACCCTTAGAGCAGTCCTTTTAGGAGTTGAAGCCTGCAAGATGAAAGTTAGATCAAGAATTTGACTTTACAGAACGAGCCCACAGGACATTAGAGAAGCTGCGGCTCCCGTGAAGCTCAGTAACCCTTTCGCAGGGTAGGTAGGTGGTCCTGGCCCCGGTGTGCTGTGTGCCTTCCCGCAAGCTCCCTAAGCAAGTGCAGCCGGAGGTTGGGCAGAGCCGTTGCGTTGCTCGCAGTGAGGCCGTGAGTATTCTTTCCATTGCACTTTTGACGATCGCTAAGAAATTGCCTTTCTAACACCTGAGTTACTGTTAGAGGAGTTGTCTTCACTGCCTGATTTAATAATCCTAAGTTAGTTCCGTTGGAAGAAATTTTAAGAGGCATCAGGCTGCTGTGTTTCGCTGAACCTTTGCTAAAACGCAGGCTTATTCATATAGTGTACTCACCTCAGATCAGTCCTGTTCCTCCATCAGGCCCTTAAAAACCATCCTTTGGCTCATTAAGGTGACTTCAACTTTTTGGTGTCCCTGGGGGATGTTCTAGTACAGAATAGCTCTCGGCCAGGGTACCAGGCGGCGCTGGTGGAACTTACTTCTTAGACTGTGTTCTCACGTCACTTGGTGGACGATCTTAGAGTGTGAGACAAAAGAAAAAGCAAATATTTGTTCTCACAGAGAAATGTAGTGGCTATTGGGTGGAGGTGAGGCAGGACCAGATTCCGTGCGTGTTGGGATTTGGGAAGGGAGTGGGGGTGAGGGCAGTTCCCGGGGTCCCGTGCAATTTCAGCGTCATAGTCCATTAAATGTGTTTTTGTTGTTGTTTAACTTTTTTTAATTTTGAGATCATTGTAGATTCATAGGGAAAAAATAATGCGTAGAAGTCCCATTTACCCTTTGCCCAGTTTTTCCAAGACTCGCAGGGGTGTCCAGCCCGTGGCCCCGGGGCCACGTGCAGTTCAGGGCGGCCATGACTGCAGCCCAACACAAAATCTTAAATGTCCTTAAAACATCGTGAGGCTTTTCTGTGATTACATGTCACAGTGTATTTAATGTGTGGCACAGAGACGCCAAAAGGTTGCACACCCCTGGAAGAGTTACACCTTATAGCAGTCTAGTTCGGTGCATGTCTGTGTAGCTCTGTGACAGTTTACCGCATGTGTAGGTATGATATGTCTCACCCCCACCTCAGTCGGGATGCAGAACTCTCCCATCGCCACGGAGAGCTCCCCCTCCATGTCTGGAAATCGGGCTGAACCACTATTTCCAGTGCCACTGTTCAGACAGCTGTTCTTGGGATGGGGGGCTTTTTAAGCACAGAGTCAGTAGATTAAATCACACCAAAAGGTCGGTGTATTGGCTACTTTAAAGAAACAAACCAAAACCAGGCTCCCAGAGTCTCTTATAGAAGTCACTGGGAAGTTGTTTGCATAGGGCTTCTTTAGGCCGTGGGTTTATAGGTGATTCACGGCCCCTCCATTCCCCATTTCCTCTCTATTTAATGAATATATTTAACCAACATAATTACTATTGCAGTTAGAGAAATGAAAGTACTAACACATAAGAGAGGAATTAAAAACACCCAGTTTTGATAAGACTCTCATGTAGTGGTAATATAAATAGCTCAGGGTTTGGGGCAGGCAGTTAGCTTTCAAGGCCTTGAAAAAGTTCGCAGTCTTTTGACCTAGTGATTTCACTTGCGGAAGATGATCAGAACTGTCGGAAAAGGTACAAGGATATTCATTATTTCTAATGTAGCCTTACAGCAGGAAAATGAAATCCATCTTTTATGTGTAAAGCTCCGTAATTGAGTTTGAACTCCACGTCAAATGGCTGCATTGAATGGTTCGATCAATTTAACAGCAGTTTGGTAGAGGCACTTTAATTATGGCGTTAATGTAACTTTGGAAACTGTATACTTAAAAATAAATTTAGTGTTTATGGATTTAATTGAAGAATCTTGTCCTAAAATATGGCATTTCATATAATTATGTAAATATGCCTTGATTTTTAGGAAGAATGAAAATGCATTCTAGCAGATTGGTGTTTTTTAATATAGTCATCATGTCATGTCATTTTATGTTAATGTCATGTCTACCACTAACTATTTTCTGGCTGTACCAAGAGATAGTGGGAAGTGAGCACACATCTAGGCTGAGTACCGAGCAGTTGTTTCTCTTTTTTGCTGTAGAGTTGCTTCTGTCATTTTACTTTTTCCTTCAGTAATTCTAAACTTGGAAGTGTCAATCCAACTTCCACTATTTCCTCAGTCTTCCTGGTCCACTCCTTGTTGTTAGTCCCACTTATTTTTAAATTTCCCTGAGGATACGCATGCGTCATGTCTAAGTCGGACATTCCCGCAGGAGAAGACCCCAGAGCAGCACCCACGCCCCGCACTCCCACCCAAGCCTCTTAGCTACTGCTCTGTGGGATTTATGTCCAGTTTTCCAGTGACATTCTAAATGCCCATTATTTATGATTTTTTTCCAACTTTGGATGTGATTCATCGTCCCTGTGCTATAGAAGATGTTGTCACTCTCGTATATTCTCTTCCCCTCACATTATACAACTCACTTCTTCCTCTTTTCCCCAAACAGTTAAGTCACGATTTTGATGTGAATAAGTAGCCATGGCTCAACTGTAAAGAACAAGTTACTCCTGGCTCAGATATTCTTTACACTTGCACCATGGTTACTTATGTTTTGTTTTTCTTAGCTAATAATTATGTTAGCTTCCTCGGTACTGTTCTTGTCTCATTTTTCTGCCAGTGTGTTGCAAATGTGTGTGTCCACTCAATATCCTGTCTTTCAGACTCAAGTCTTTTAAAATTGCCGTCCTCTCGGTCCTTGCCGTCTGGACTGGCGTTCTTACTTACTGTCCGCTCACTGCCGTGGCCAAGGGTCTCCCTATGCTGCTAAGGTGGGAATTCCAGAGACTTCCTTTCCGTGTTGGCATCCAGCCTCCCAGATCCCATCACTTCCTTTTTCTTAACTTGCTTGTTTGTTTTGGTGGAACACATTCTGCTAGCTCTCTGGCAACAGGTGCATAGAAGGAGAATTTTCTGAGACTTTAATGTCTGAAATTGTCTGCAGCATGCTTTTCAGACTGAATGGGCATTTTGGTTGGACTTAGAATTCTAGGCATTTGAAGGCGTCATTTCAGTGGTCTTTGAACTTCTGATGTTGCTGCAGAGATAGTCAATACCTCCTGATTCCTGGTTTTCTATGTGTGATATGTTTTGGGGTTTTTCTAAGTTATCAATTTTTTCTTTTACGGTTTGTGCTTTTTAAAAGATTTTATTTGTCTTTAGAGGGGAAGAGAAGGAGAGAGGGAGAGAAATATCAATGTATGGTTGCCTCTCGTGGGTCCCCTGCCGGGAACTGGCCTGCAACCCAGGCATGTGCCCTGACTGGGAATCAAACTGCGATCCGTTGATTCTCAGGCCTGTGCTCAATCCACTGAGCTATACCAGCCAGGGCTTCTCTGTCATCTCTTAAAATTTTTTTATTATTCAGATTTTTACCCTTATGGATTCATATAATTAACATTTTTATTCCTACTTTTAGCTTATTTAAAATATTTTTATCACCTGTATCTCATAATTCTTCTGTATATTTCTTAAATTTATTTTTCATGTCCAGAAGCTCTGCTTTTTTCCTCTGGATGTATCGTTTTATAATCTCCCAGTTTCCCCTCCTGGGAACAACATTTATCATCATCTGTCTGAGAGTAATAATTACGGCTTCGTCTTTGTCTTTTCTCACCTGTCTTTGGTTCTCCACCCTAACTCAGCTTCCCAAGTTCTTTTTTTCTTCCTATAGATTCTGTCTCTTTCTGGTGGTCAACGGAACAGCAGGGTTTTTATTTTAAACTATTACGTAACAATAGGGGTGTTTTTACTAATATAATAAGATCTAGAGGTGAAAGAATATTTTAAAGTAATGATGAGTATAGATGTTTTCAATTTATCTTGTGATGTGATGTGAAAATATGCGATTTTTATTGGTGACAAAGTCACACATACTGCTAATTCTTCCGGAATCTATAGCCTACATTTATAATGAAAAGGAATGTAATTTCAGGTACTGGTTGGTGCCAAATGCAAATTTTATTTGTCTCACATGCAAGTCCCCGGAAGCCCCTTGAATTCTGTTGACAGGCCCTGTGGGGGGTCAGGAGCCCCTTGCTCAGAGGTTGCTTTAGTAACTCTTTGCGGGTCGTGGGCTGTCAGCCCTGAGGCCGAGGTGCGGCAAAGCTCCTGGTGGCTCTGAGTGTCTGAATGGGGCTTCACAGCCGCTTCACTTCGGGCTGTGGGGCCCTCAACCCTCAGGATCTGGGGGTCTTTCCTCTTGGGATTCAGATCTCTTCGGAGAAAGGTCTGTCGGTTTGCCCTGGAGCCGCAGTTGGGTCACCTGTGTCCTCCCAGACAGGTGACTTTGCCCTCGTCTTTCCAGCCAGCAAAATTTGCTTATGTGACTTAACCAAGTGGCTGAATGTCAGATAAATCCCTGTTGGATACAACGGTTCTAGGAAGGGATACAGCTCTCATCAGTGTTTTGAAACCCTTAATATGACAAGAAAATCTGGCTGTTTCTTGAATACATTTAATTTTCAACTTACTTTTCCAGGAGCTTTCAAGTTGTGGATGGAATAAGAAGGAGAAGCACAGTTCGGCGCCGAATGCAGTTGCCTTCACAAGGAGATTTAATCACGTGAGTTGCTCATGTACATTTTTCAAAGGCTTTATTTCTTTTCAGGGCGAGAGGGAGAGAAACATCCATGTGCAAGAGAAACATCGATCGGTTGCCTCTTGCACGCCCCCAGCCAGGGAGGGACCTTTGTCACTAAACCCAGGCGTGTGCCCTGACCGGGAGTGGAACTGGCGACCTTTCGGGTCACAGGGCACTCAGTCTGCCGAGCCACGCCAGCCAGGGCAGTTGCTTATAAAACGTTGGTGTTTAGTTTCTGCCATATAATCCCTCAATATGTAATTTTTCATAAAGAAACCAGTTCTGGAGCATTTTCAGGCTCTCTTCAAATACTGTCTACATATTCCCTTTTTTCCCTTCTGTAATTCGTGTTGGAAATTGTTAGAACTTCCCCTTCCTCCCCACTGGTCTTAACCTCTCCTGCGTTACATGCTTTCCATTTGCTCGTTCTATGATTTCCGTTCATTTGTTCATTTTGTTCCTTGTGTGATTTTCTCAGGTCTGTATTTTAGTTCATTAATTCTCCTCAGAAATGTTCCATGTTTTAAGTCCGTGCTTTTACACTAGTGCCGTTTGATTTAATTACTTAAATCATTTCCAACATTGTATTTTATAATTTCCTTTGTTCTCCGTAGTCCTTGGGGCACTAGATGGGTTATTTCTGCTGATCCTTGTTCACAGTGGTTTGTTGCCTTGAGCGTTTTGTGACTTGGGGTGGAGACCTCGGTCCGTTTAAGCCTCATCTGTGGGCATTTCGCTGCTGCCTCTGTTGGGGGCCTGTCCCTTCCAAGAGGCTTTTGTTTGCTTTGCTTGTGCCAAGGGCCGTCACGGAGGTAGGGCTGTCCTTTATGGTACATGTTCTGGTGCCGGAACATCTGTGCTTCCCTGTAGTGAACATTTAAACTCGAAATCCAACTAAGGGCAGGTTAGGCGTTCTTATGAAAGCCTCGTTTGGCTCCTCCCTCCGGCAGTAGGTGAGTTGCATTGACGAACCCTCCCGAGATCCCTTAGCCACTAATAGAGGGGGCAGGGCAGGGCCCAGCCGGGAGACCTTGTGTTGCGTGTCTGGTGGAGCATTAAATTCTAAGCCCCTGTCACTGAAAGGAAATCTTTTAGCTACTGTTTTGCCTTTATTTCCTTCTTTGTTTTTGGCCTTTAGGGAAATCCTTCATTTTCCTTTCAAGTTAGACATACGTTTCTTTAGCAGAACAGTTTGTTACGTTTCTTTAGCAGAACAGTTTGTTGTCTTTAGCCCAGTATTTCTATATGTTTACAGCCAGTAGTTTCTTAGGTTCCTTGGCTCACCAAAATCTTGGTTCAAGTTTTTAAAATTGAATCATTAATAGGGGCTTAAGGCAAGCATATCTTCCTACTGAATTCCATATTTAAGCCCTGTAGCATTTGTTTTAAAAAATTTTTTTTGCAACGGTTAGAATTTGTCATCACGATAAAAGTTTTCTCCTTGCCATAAGTACATTATGTTACAATACCCACACATTTGACTATAGATTTTAAGCACTTAGATTATTCTTACGTAAGCCAGAAGTTGTCGAGTCAAATGTGTCACAGGGTAGGAAAGCTCCTGTCCCTATTCCAGGTCACAACTGACCCTGCATAAGCTTCATTACTTAGTTATCCCATTACTCTGTTTAATCTCCTGAAGGTCACAGGACATCTGAAGTAGCAAATTAGAGTCTTTTAGAGGGACCCCATCTGCATCTTAATTTTAAAAAAGGAATCTCTCATAGCCAGGACATAGTCGAGTCTTCCTTTTTCAAATCCAGTCTGACAGTCTCTGCCTTCAGTTTAGACTTTGCACAGATGGAAAGGTAGTTCAGAGAGTTTCCATGGGAACACAGGGCACGATGCAGTATCCTGTAATTCGCTTGCTTGCTTCCTCCTGCTTAGCAGTCTCAGAATAATACTGCTAATACCAGTAATACTACTGTAAACAAATACATGCTCTGCAGGTGTTCTGTTTTTTATAATTGTGCTAGATATTATCTGAGCATATAGACGTTGTATAATGCGCTCACTCTCTTTTAACCCTTATTTACTCTTGGCTATATGAATAAGTGTATATTTAATACAACCATCCTCTGGTTGATATTTCTGCAGCCATTTTGGTTTTCTGAAGCCCATTCTCATAGGAAGGACTCATTGGATCGATGGTTCCTGAGCTCTTACATATGGACAAGTGTGCCTGTTTTCTGTATAAAATTTTCTTTTTTAAAATTATGTTTGATGTGTACTCAGTTTTTTTTTTCTGACAGAGCAGCGTTGCTGTTGAAAAATCTGATGATAATTTAATTTTCTTTTTTTAAATTTTTTTATTGATTATGCTGTTACAGTTGTTCTATTTACCCCCCCACCCCCCCCCCACCCCCTTTAGTTTATGACCATGTGTCTCAAGTCCTTTAGATTCTATATTTCCCCTACTATTCTTGCCCCCCCATCTATTTTCTATCTACTGTCTATGCTACTTATTTTCTGTACCTTCTCCCCCCCTTCTCCTCCTCCCACTCCCCTGTTGCTAACCCTCCTTGAGATCTTCATTTCTATGTTTCCACTCCTGATCTAGCTGTCCTTTTAGTTTGCTTTCGTTTTAGGTGTGGTTGTTAATAACTGTGAGTTTGTTGTCCTTTCACTGTTCATGTTTCTTTAACTTCTTTTTCTTAGATAAGTCCCTTTAACATTTCATATAATAAGGGCTTGGTGATGATGAACTCCTTGAATTTGATCTTATCTGAGAAGCACTTTATCTGTCCTTCCATTCTAAATGAAAGTTTTGCTGAATAGAGCAATCTTGGATGTAGGTCTTTAGATTTCATGACTTGGAATACTTCTTTCCAGCTTCTTCTTGCCTGTAAGGTCTCTTTTGAGAAATCCGCTGACAGTCTGATGGGGACTCCTTTATAGGTGATTGTCCCCTTAGCTCTTGCTGCTTCTAGGATTCTCTCCTTCATTTTAATTTTGGCTAATGTAATTATGATGTGCCTTGGTGTGTTCCTTCTTGGGTCCAACTTCTTTGGGACTCTCTGAGCTTCCTGGATTTCCTGGAGTCTATTTCCTTTGCCAGCTTGGGGAAATTCTCCTTTATTATTTGTTCAAATAAGTGTTCCAGTTGTGGCTGTGCCTTTCCCCCTTCTGGTACCCCTATAATTCGGATGTTGGAGCGTTTAAAGATGTCCTGGAGGTTCCTAAGACTCTCCTCATTTCTTTGAATTCTTGCTTCTTGACTCTTTTCTGTTTGGCCATTATTTGCTTTCTTCTGGTCCACTCCATTGATTTGAGTCCCAGTTTCCTTTTCATTGCTATTGGTTTCCTATGCAATTCCATTCATTTCAATTAGTTTTGCCTTCATATATTTGTCTAATTTGTCAGTATAATCAACCAGTTCTGTGAGGATCCTGATCACCAATGTTTTAAACTGTGCGTCTGTGAGTTTTGCTATTTCTTCATCACTTAGATCTATGGCTCTGGGGCTCTGAGATCCTTCTGCGCCATTCTTGGTCTGTTCTGGCCCTTTAAGTGTGAGAAGCGGCGCCTTGGATTCCCAGGTCGCTGGGTTGTGACGCTGTATGTGGGGGCGTGGTCAGAGCAGGGAAATGGCGGCGCCCTCCACTGCCGCTTGCCGTGGGGACCTGCCGGCCAGGTCCAACCGCCCACTCCCTCACCTGTCCACCCGCGCACAAATGCACGACCTCAGTCAACACGCAGCCCCGCTGCCCCGCTGTCTCCCCCGCGGTCGCTCGCCTGGTTGCTCGCTCGGTCGCTCACTAGGTCGGACCCTGCGCCTGGATTCCGCAGGCCTGAGTCCGTCTGACCGAGTTTTCCTGTGCAACCCTGCTCCGCCAGCCGCTGGTTTCGCCCCTTACCAGTCAGGCTGAAGAATTTGTTGTTAACGGACTTCCGAAAAGTTCAATTTTCCGTGTTCTGGCTGTGTTTTCTGTTGCTAATATTTAGTTTTCTCTAATCTTGGTTGTGTGAGAAGGCACGGCACATCCACCTATGCCTCCATCTTGGCGGAAGTCTAATTTAATATTCTTTTCCTAAAAAATTTCTCTTTTTGTCTCAGTGGCCTTAAAGAGTTTTTTCTCTAAAGTCCAGTAAGTTTACTGAACAGCCTCTTGGCACTGGTCGTTCTGAGCCAGTGTTCTTAGCCGGGCTGGCTTTAGCCAGGACTGTCGGTGGGGAGCACCCACACTCAGCCTGTCCAGCATGGGGGTCTGAGTGTCGTTGGGCTTCATACACGGGAGCCTAGGGACCAGAGGGGACGTCCCGGCGGGCCCTGGTCCTGGGAGTCAGCATCAAGCTCTTTAATCCTCACTCGTGGAGGCAGTTGGGAGCCTGTGCGCCGTCAGTGAGAGGCAGCCCCCACCCCAGCTTTCAAGGAGAGGAATTTGTAGTCATGTTTTGTCTTTTCTTTTAAGGATTTTATTTATCTATTTTAACAGAGGGGAAGGGAGAGAGAAAGAAAGGGAGAGAAATATCAATGTGCCATGCCTCTAGCACACCCCCGCCTGGAGACCTGGCCTGCAACCCAGGCATGTGCCCTGACTGGGAATTGAACTGGTGACCTTTTGGTTCACAGGCCAGCGCTCTATCCACTGAACTACACCAGCCACGGCTGTGGTCATGTTTTAAAATCACTATAGTATTTGTCTGACATTAAATTTAATTAAGTTAATGACCAAGCAGTTGAGATTGCATTCACAGATGATTGCCAAGGTTGTTATTAAAATATCCAAAATTAACATTTTGATATATTTAGAAGTAACCTTAATGAGAATCAGGGAGAGTTACTGCCATTAATAGCTTAAATATAGTAACAGGTATGAAGGTGGCTTCCTGAAATACATGCATTTTACTTTCACCTATGCATTTGTAAAATATATACATTTTGACATTTACTGATGAAAATTGCAAGTAAAATCTGACACTTCTCACAAAAAATAGTGAAGAGATCTGAGTTAGTGGCATTATCTTTTGCGTTAAGATTTCTAACTACACCCTGTTTTAGATTTGTATAAATTTGAGCAGCAGTTAGTGTCCTGATCGTATTTTCATTGCACATGAATTAACATGTTACATGTGTTAAGCAAATTGTCTTCACCAGCATCGAACATGTAGTCATGTTACAGATCTAGTTCACCTTCTGATTTTTTAATGTTCTTTAAGAGAAGTCATGAGTGCGGTTTCATTGAACTAGAAAGCGTAATTTTTAAAATACAATCCTAAATTTAGAGTGACTCGCATTTGTTTTCCTTTACAATGTTTAATTTCATTTCATTCATACCAAGAACACCATATGTGGGATTTTTCACTCTCAGGATTCTGCTGGTGTAAACAAATGGCGGCATGGCACTGCCGTAAGTAGCATGTTCTCCAGGGTCTGCTCCTAGAACTCACCCGGTTCTGCCGAAGTGTCATGATGCATCACCCTGGCTTCATTGCATCCTCTTAGTTCCTCGGAAAAGCTTTTACCAATTAAAGTTAGTCGTGATGTTTTTATGTTGTGTGTACACACGCACACACATCTATGTGTGTCTGTAGATATGGCATGTGTGCAACATTTGGAGGTTGCTTGTGTCCTGGTGGTGAACCCAAGGAACAAGAAAGTGTTGTTTTCATACAGATGCAGGGCGTTCGTTCTTCAAGTAGCTCTTGTCGCTAATTTGGCCCAAGTGAGTGCAGAATCTTGCCATTCAATTATTTTTTATTTTTATTTGCAGGTAAGCTTTTGGGTTGTCAGAGAGATTCTTCACGCTCAGACATTAAAAATTAGAGCCGAAGTTTTGAGCCACTATATTAAAACTGCTAAGGTAAGAAAAACCTGTGGTTTGGTTTTTGAGTTCAACCACTCAGCAGTCTTTGTGAATATTTGCCTGTGATACTTATTTACTATCTTCTAATGCTAGAAAGTAAGACCCATTGATTATAGTTTTTAAACTAATGCTTGTTTTCTGTCCCTTTTCCTGTATTTGTTTTTCTTCCTCCCCTTTTCTGTCTTTCCCCATTTCTTAGAATAGCTGAAATGTATGATGTATTTGATTGAATAAAGAGGTCAGCTTATGGTGAAGTCCACTATTTAAATATTTGCAATATATCTTCCGCAGGTGATTGGGAAAGCCTTGTAGAATTGAGTAGAATACATATCAGTTATTTACTTTTGAAATAGAGAACTCTGCCAACCATGTGGGGAGTGATAAGACCTTGGTTTTAAAAGAATAATATGAATGAGGGTGTTAACCAAATAAGCCAACTGCATAGTTCCCGTGGGGGTAGGCAGTAGATCGGTGGCGAAGGGAAGTGGAACACGGGTCTCAAGGGCAGGAAGAGTTAGAGAGGAGGAAGGAACAGAACATTCCAAGAGAGGGTACCAAGATTTTAAAAAAATATTTATTTATTGAGAGAGGGGAAGGGAAGGAGAAAGAGTGGGAGAGAAACATCAATGTATGGTCGCCTCTCATGCATCCCCTGCTGGGAACTGGCCTGCAACCCAGGCATGTGCCCTGACTGGGAATCGAACCTCGATACTCTGGTTCGCAGGCCCGCGCTCAATCCACTGAGCTATGCCAGCCAGGGCTGGGTGCCAAGATTTTACTAAAACTTGTAACAACTCCAAATTTATGTTAAGTTCACTAAAAAGTGGTATGTGTGTTTGTAGCCACATTCTTTATTATTCTTGTAATAAGTATATAACTTAGCTCACCTGTGAATGAAAGAAGATGGTGTAAAATGAGGGTACCATTTTACCAACTGTAAGCATTGAAATTACTATAAAATCGCAATTATTGTAAGTTACACCTCTTGCTTATTTTTCTCGAGCACACGGAGCAATTGTATTCTAAGATTCTGTGGCACTAGGTGGCAGAACTAGCCTTCTAAAATTTGATAGAAGCGTCATAAAATTTCTAAAAACATTCTTCGTGGTAAGTTAGATAAATGTTGGGTTTTAGCCAGTAGACGTGCCTGACTTTTCACCAGAGATTATGAATCTGCATTATTGTTCTCTGGCGATTTTGTTAGTTTTTTCTTTGCTTGTGTATTCCACTCAAAACCACCAAATTTTGCCCATCAAACCTGCTATTATCCTTCTCATCAAATAATCATTTAATTCCAGTTCAGACTCTTAAATTCTGAGTTATGTTTGACAGTGTTTGCTTTTATCCCAAGTTCTAAATTCATAACTTTTTGTCTTAGTGCTGTTTCTTGCATTCTTCTGTTTTAACTCTCTGCCTTCTGTATTCAGTTTGTTATAAAGCTGGCAGGTCTTTCTCTTCTTTCAGAGATTGTTAGGGTTCTCTGGAAACAGAAAAAAATATGTAAATATATAATGTATGAATCGACGTGAAGAATTGGTTCCTGGGGGTGTAAGGTGGGGCAGGCAGGTCCGGGGTCTGTAGGGCGGGAGGCTGGCCTCGACCCTGAGGCAGGAGTTCTTCCGTAGGAAACCTCGGTTTACTCCTCAGGTGGTTTAACCAGTGAGATGCACTTGACCTGATGATAGAGTGAAACCTTTTGATTAAAATGAACTGAGCGTAGATGCTAACCACGTTTACAAGCTCTTTTCACCGTGACGCCTCGGTTACTGTGGGATTAAATAACTGGGTACTGTAGCCTAACACTGATCATCAGTAGACACAATGGAGTATCTATAGAATACACTTGAGGTATCAAAAGCATGTCGGTGCAGTGAATCCTGTACCCACTGCCCCCTCCGAATTCCCATATGCTTTTTTGCATGCAGCCCCCTGACCTCACCTAAATTTTGTTTGTTTTTTTATAGTTGTACCATGTATGTGTGTGTCCCTGAATAACACATTGCTGTGTATGGTTTTTAATTTTGCTTAAAATGAATTGTTCCATAATACTTTCATACTTTGATAACTTGGGGTTTTTTTGTTAGTTTTATTTTGGGTTTTTTGTTTGTTTGTTTTTTACACTCAGCAGTGTTACTGAAAGGTTTTGGGTGTATCTCTGTTGTATTTCGTTGTATTCCTATACCGCAGACTGTTCGGTGTATTCCAGCTTGCTTGCGCAGTTTCCACATTTTTGCTGCTATAAACACTGCTGCTGTTCTTGTGTGAGTGTCTTGTGTGAGTGTTCTTGTGTGAGTGCATTCTTGTGTGAGTGTCTTGGTGCTCATGGGGAGGTAGAGCCCGAGAAATGCAGAGAAAAGACAAGGTACCTTCAAAGAATGACAGACCTGTAGCTTTCATGGAATCTGATGAGAATGAACATGTTTTTCTATTTCGGCCATTTACGTTTTCTTTCCTGAAATGTCTATTCAGGATCTTTGAACAATTTTCTGTTATAATGTTGGTCTTCTCTTGATTTTTATAGGAGAGAGAGAGAGTGTGTGTGTGTGGTGTGAGATTTCTGGTTCTGTATTCTATACTTTGTATACATCTTCCTATTTATAGCTTGTCTTATCATTACTCTTTTCACGTTGTCTTTGGATATAGATGTTCTTAGCTTAGTAATAAAACTTACTCATCTTTAATTTTTATTGTCTTATTTAAGGATATCTTATTTAAGAAAGCCTACCGTAATCTCTGAGACTATCAAAATTGTTTTCTTAGTCTTTAAAAGTTTTATAGCTTTGACTTTATACTTCAGTATTTAATCTGTCTAGAATAAATTTAATATATAATACGTATGAGTTACGGATTTCAGTTCATAATTTCTATGAATAATCATTCTGGCAGCATTCTTAAATATCCTTCTTTCTTAAAGCTCTCTCTATTTTATTTTGTCTAGAAGCATCCAGACAAAATAATAAAATGCTATTCCACACTTACACGGGTTTGGTTTTTTAATTTATTTACTCTGCTTGGGATTCCTTGAGTCCTGGCCTTAGGAATTAGTGTTTTTCAGTAATTTGGGAAAATAACCTGCCATCTCAACTATTGTTTCTACCCCATGATTTTTTTGCTATCTCCTAACTTAAATTAGATAATGATGGCCTTTTGGCTGTACCTTTCATGTCTCTTGTTTTACATTTTTTTAAAACTCATTGGCTTTCACGTTGCATTCTGGACAGTGCCTTCATATTTAATATTCATTTATTCAGGGCCATACCTGGTGGCGTTCTCCATTTGTGAATTCTTATTTCCTTGTGTTTTTTCATTTTCCTTTTCACTTGAGTTCCTATTTCTTGAAACTTTACAGGAATACTATAAGACCTGAGTTAAGATGGTGCACTAGTCTGCGTTTTCCAGAAAAACAGAGCCCCTGCCCTTTTCTTGGTTCTAATGTTCAGAACACGCTTTTTGCCTTGGAGTCTCTTGAGAGCGGGGAGGCCGGTTTTAACTGACTTATTTTGAGATAGGGCCAGTGGGCTGTGAGCAGTCATAGTATGAAGAAGTCTGGAAAATGAACCATGAGTGCCTAGGATATATGTTGGCAAACTGACGGACCCTCTTGTTAGGCACAAGTTTTCTGCAAGGACACTGTCAAAGCAAGGCCTTGTCCTGGGAAGCAGGTGAATGTCCGAGAGGAGCGAGGAACATGAAGCTGGGGGTTTGGGCCAGAGGAAGCAGGAGATTGAGGAGGGGGGGAGACAGCGGATGTGAACCCTAGGCCTGGAACAGCGGTGGTGTGGAGTGGGAAGCCAGATCAGGAGCCTGGGCACAGACCCTTTCCTTGAAACTTGGGGTCTCCTTGAAACTTGGGTCATAAGACACAGGCCTAGTTATATTTTAGCTTTTCCTTAATATAACTCCTACGTAGTTTTAGGGGTTTAAGTAGTTAAGAAGCCTGCTTGCTGGACTCCAGTGTGCACGACCATACCTGGTAAACTTGATATGAGCCCAAAGTCTGGTTTTCTTAATACACTACCCAGCTGGAGGTAGGTCGGCCAGTACCAGGTTAGAACGTGGGATTTCTGTTGCAGGCCAAAAGCGACTTAAGGTAAAACGGCGGGTGCTCTTTCAAAGACCAACCTCAGCAGTGAGGGCAATGGGCCCTGGACACCACGGCCGCCTGGGTTTTACTTGTCATTAATCCCATGTTGTTTCATGTTCGTGCTACTTATTTTTCCCCCCTTCTCTTTTTCTCAAACCCTCAGAAACTGTACGAGTTGAATAACCTGCACGCGCTCATGGCGGTGGTCTCGGGCCTGCAAAGCGCCCCCATTTTTAGGCTGACGAAAACCTGGGCGGTGAGTAGTGCCTCTTGAGCGAGTGAATGGACAGCATTCCTGTTGGAAGTGAGACGTAGCAGTTTCTTTTGCAGCGCCTGGTAACCACGGTTCACAGCAGGAGGATAGATGAGGGTTTTTTAATTACTTTGTGCTCTGTTCTTTGAAACCTACATTTTTCTCTCTCCTTAAATGTTTCATGAGCCTTGTCAGATAATTTTGGGGTAAATTACAGCTCAATGCTCGGTTTCTGCTCTCTGGGAAGTCAGTTTGCCAGCCTCTTTAAGCATCCGGACGGCGCAGCCCTTCGGGTTCACTGATGGGGAAGTATAAGTACAGAAATCTTGTTTCATCAGGTAAAGATGTGCTTTTGCAAAGTTTGAGGAAAATCTAAATTTTGTAAGTTTCAAAAAGTGTACTGATTTAGCGTTCCATTATTTGTTAGTTCCGTTATTTGTAAGGGTTCCTCCCTTAGGAATAACGAAAATCTGAGTGTCAGCGTGGTGTTAGGCAGCATTGCCCCACATGCCGATGCTGTGTCCGTCACCCTCAGTTCTGTCACCTCAGCGAGGACAGTGGGTGAATTTTGTCTTTCGCAAAGTTTTCGTCTTTGAGCACATGATACTGGCTTCAGGCTTTCTAGGTTTTTTTTGTTTAGGTTTATGTAAGTAAAATTTTACATTTAATTAAATCTGTTCACATTTAACATTGTTCTTTAATGTTAAAGAGGACAGATTTCACTTATTATATTTTGTACAACAAATTAGTGTATTCTTCAGATCCTGTGACAAAGACATGACTGAATGTAAAAAGTTTATTATTTTTTTTAATTACTAAAATATAACTATTCTTAATTAGCCTAATGTTGCTTTCACTTTTCACGGTGTCTGAAGAGACAGATGTTTCTCATGAAAACCAGGGTGGATTTCTGTATTGGGAAAATATAGTGTGGAAGAACTCCAGGCCTCTTGATATTTTATTTGTATTTTAGAAACACCTGGGTGAAGGGATTTTCCTACTTTAAAATTTATTTTTAATAACGATGGCCTTACTCTCTATTCTTAATTTGAATTTCATGGAGGAATGGAAATGATTATAAATACATAGTTATGAATTCCATCTTTGAAGTTTTAGGGAAGAGAATTATACTCTGATTTATATTGTGGTTTAGAAATGAGGTACATTTTCCTCAAGTTAATTTTTATTTTCCTTGAAGATATTATTGTCTTATGTATTTGCATGGAAAAGATTTTCTAATTTAGTAGCGGCTCCATTATTGATATAAATAAAGTGTTTGGTGTTTATATTAAATTTTAAAATATTCCGCACTGTGCCAGGCACTGCGTAATTGCTTGACATAACAACAGTGAGTTATAGAAACAGCTCATTCCTAGCTGACATTCTGCTGGAAGAAGATAAACCGTAAATAAACAAGTAATGTATCACAAATAGTGATGAATGCTCTGAAGAAAAATAAAGCAAAGTAAATGGAATAAAAAGGAAAGCAGGGAAGTATTACACATTGTATGTTGCAACAGAGTCTCTAGTTTAAAGTGACAGCTGGGCAGAGACCTGGAGGGATTTAGAGAACCTTCCACGTGGATGTCTGGGAGGGAGAATTCCAAGCAGTGGTGGCAGCTGTACGAAGGCCCTGCCGATGCTCAGAGAACAGCAGGGTGGTCAGCGTTGACAGTTCGTGAGCCGGGGAGTGGGCGCTGGGTAGGAGGCGAGTGCAGAGAGGGGGCATCGCGTCAGGTACCTCCCGGAGACGCTGTTTACCGTGGAAGTGTAGAGCAGGTTCCGTTTTATACAAACCAAGCTGGAATAGGCTGATAGTATCTGTGTGAGACTGTACAGTCAGGGTTGGCTCTACGAGTCTAAGAGAGCAGGTGGAGCTATAGATGTATTTTTGTGATCATCAGCATAAAGACAGTATTTAAACCTTGGGTGGGTTAGGATCACCTGAGACATGAGCGTAGATGAGAAGCTCTGGAACCACCCAAGATTTAAATGTTGGGAAAATGGGGACTTGCCACAGGAAATGTCATGGTTAGGAAAAGGTTTGCATTGTCAGGTAAAGAAACTATTTCAAGGAAGAGTGATTGGTAGCCTGTGTCAAGTGCTGCTAATATATTGACTAAGGCAAGACCTTCGGCCTGACCATTGGATCTGGCGATTGAAGGGGGCTGGTCTTGGGACAGTGGTGGGGTGAAGGACTGATCTGATCTGAGGGAAGGGCGGAGAAAAATGGGACAGCGGATATAAAGAATGTACTTGAGGAGTTTGCTCCGAAGGGCTGGGGGGAGGTGTGTAGCAGAGGAATCTGGCAGTGGCTGGAAGGGAATGTGACACCAGAGATTCGTGGAATTTGGTTTTGTTTTGGAGATGGTCTCCATGACGATGTGTTTGTGTTCTGGTGGCAGTGATCTCATGGGGGGACTGGTAGAATGAGGGGTTATTCCTGTGACGCCCTCAGTTAGGCAGGAGGGAATGAGGCCCAGGAGTCCAGTGAAGCAGGAGCAGTCGGCCCACGATAACAGGAGAGTGATGGCAGGGCGGTTGTTGGAGGTTTGGGGGTTTTTTAAAGATTTTGTTTATTTACTTTTACAGAGAGGGAAAGGGAGGGAGGAAAAGAGGGAGAGAACTATCAAGAGATACATGGGCAGATTGCCTCTCACATGCCTGCAACTGGGGACCTGGCCTGCACTCCAGGCACGTGCTCTAACTGGAAATCAGACCGGTGACCTTTCATTTCACAGGCCGGCACTCAATCCACTAAAGAGGGGCTTGGGGCAGGGGAGAGCAATGGGGGGAAACTGGGACAACTGTACCAGAACAATAATTTTAAAAAATGTCCAGTCAGTGAGGCAGCTGCCAAAGATTATCAACAGTATGGTGTTCTTTAGTCAAAGGTCTAATAACATTTAAGAGAATGATAAACACAAAATTCAGGATCGAGGCTACTGGTTAAAGATAGTTAAAGAAATTGGATACGGAAGGAGCGTAGATATGTGTTACTGGTATGCAGTTCTTAGAAAGGTAGATGCATGTGTGTGTGTTATAAAATTAAAAAAAAACACATCAGTTTAACAAGAATCACATCAGGGACAAGGATAAGTGAGTGTCATAGACAAAGGGTTATAATCAGTCTGCATCCGAGGCCCAAGGTGGATGCAGTTCACTGCTGCGAGGGCACACGTTTAGACTACTGCGTGGGGACACCAGGCAAGGTGATCAGGGCTGGTCTGGGAGCCTCGTGTTCCTTACGGTGGTTGACAGGAGCAGGAGTCACCCAGCTTTTTCCCCAGGGCAGACTTTCGTTCAAGTGGCATAAAGGTCCGTCAGGTCGGGAATGCGTGAAGCCCCCTCCCTCCCAACCCCCCGAGACCATGAAGAGCTTGGGCCCCAGTTGTCGTGCTCTTGGCCAGCGCGGCGCCTAAAACGTGCAGAGTTAGAGTCTTGTGACAAACTTTGTTTCCTTTCCCCGCTTTTGGAAGGAGGAATCTAGTGAAGTGACATTGTAGGGATCAGTCTGGGAGCATCAGAAAAACATTTGAAAGGAAATAAAAGAAAATCGAGACTTCTCAGTAATGGCTGTGGCTCGTGGGCTGTGGACGAGTGGTTCTGAGCTACCACTAGGAAATTCCTGTGTCAACATCTACTTAGTTCTTTGATCCGTCTCCTTCCTCCAGAGAGTCTTCTGGAAACAAGTCCCTGCTGCCCCACACCGCACTGAATCACTTCACTCTGATTCTTGATTGATGGTGAAAATTGCAAAACTTGTTATTTTTCTCCATACTTGGACCCTGTCTTTCTCCAGCACAGTTTTGTGTTTCAGATGTGGCGAGATCCGTTGAGTTCCAAGTAATTTGCTTCTCCTGATGCTGCACCAAAGTTTTTGAGGGATTGACTTTGGTAGCTCTTGTCACTGTGGCCTCACACCACCGTATAGGCGCCCACATGCTGCACTGTGTGGGAGAGAGAGGGGTGGTTAGTCCGACAGGGAGCAGAGAGCAGCACCCGATCTTGACATTGGTAATCAAGTGTGTTGGAGCGGGGCCAGGGAAAATCCTGGGAACCGCTGTTTGAGATCATGGAACGTCTGTAAAACCTTTCAGCAGAAGGGCTCTTTGAAATCTTGTGTTTTAAAGAATAAGGGATACTGGTCAGACGCTTTTCTCATAGAGATTAGCTGGAGATAATTTGCATCTTGGAGCCTATAGAAAAATAGATTCCTGGGTCAGTTCAACTCTGTACTTGCAGTACTGGAAAGAAGGGTCCATGAGATGTCGGGATTCTGTCTGTCTCCAGCACCAGCTTAAGCCCCTGAAGCCAGGGACTGCGTCTCTGTGCGTGGGTGACTGAGAGTGTTAATATGTTCTGCTCCTTGCCGACACAGTGGTCACCTTGGAATCTCAGTCTGCTCATCTCTGAATTAACATGCAGACTTTTCTGTGACTCTCCTTAGGGAAGTAGATGGGAATTTTATTGGAAATGTTTTGCACGCTCTAAAAGGATACTAATATTTCATGTTATAAATAAAATTAAATATGATCACATCATAATGAAATAGCAGCTTCATATGTTTAAAGAAAAATATTTTTTTCCAGAGTCTTTGGAATACTTGAATAATATTTTCTGAATCTTTTAGTGACTGTTACCTGGGTGCCTGACCTTGCTTTTCTCTTACTCCCCTTGGTCATCACCATGCGTTTCAGAGGGCAATCAACGCAAGTCTGCCCTCAAGCTCTTAAAACAGTTTCAGTTGATTGTTCAGCTGCGTGTGGTGCTGCACTGGTCATAGGGGTCAAAGAAAAAGAGTCAAAATCAGAAATGTGAACCCCAGGTTGCAGATACAGCAGCCATGGTTAGATCTGTCGAGAAAAACTTGTTGACAGAAATTGCTTAACCGCTTAAAATAGTAAAGATGAGAAATAATGTATTATAATTTATTTAGTGAATTTATGTACATACAAGAGATTATATTTTATAGTTAATAGATTTGGGTTTATTAATAGACACATCTGATTTTGTAATTTATGTGTTACCAAGTATAATTAAAGAAGGTATAACTTGGGGATTCAAATTTACAGTAAGTACAACACAACTTCAAGTCTTTGCTATAATGAAATGGGATTTGGAAATAATGTCGGCTTTTCTGTTCGCTTTTTAGTTGCTAAGTCGAAAAGACAAAACTACCTTTGAAAAGTTGGAGTACGTCATGAGTAAAGAAGATAACTACAGGAGACTCAGACAGTACATCAGCAGCTTAAAGATGACCCCCTGCATTCCCTACTTAGGTGAGTTAACGCCAGTGCGGTCTTCGTGCCCAGGTGTTGCTCTGCTTCATGTAAAACTCACGATGTTTGAAAAGTGTTTGTAAACTTTAAATAAATGGCTGAGCTTATTAAGCTGAAAAATTGACTAAAGGAAATATATTACCTTATTACTTGGACTGTATCTTTTTTTTTATGAAATTAGCCTTTTGCCCTTAAGGGTTTTTTTAATAGACTATCATTTTTTTCTTAAAGATGGACCATATGGTAAAACAATACATTCTAGCTATTTTAATAATGCTTTTCAAGAATAAAGCAGTAGTTTGCAGTGAACTTCAATGCTGTAAAAATACTTGATATTAACTAAAGAAATCTATCAAGGGATGTATTGGGTTTTTTTTAACGTCACCAGTTTAGATTTTATGTAGTTGGCAGGTATTTTTGGAAAAGCCATCTAGGGAAGGTTTGCGTTGTCGTTTTTCTGGACTAAGTGAGTTGTTTAGCTGTGGAAGTTTAGCTTAGTGCTAAGACAAACAGATGGGTAACTTCTTTATCATACCGCTTGACTAAAAAGGTTTATCTCTTTGCTGTATTTTTTAGTGTTTGTAAATTCCAAGAAGTATTTAAGCAATAACATTCTAAGGCTGTTTTCAACAAAATATGAACAATGCTTTGTTGGGCTTGTGAATGAAAGGCTCAGACTGTCCCCTTTAAAGTATGTGTGTAAATTTACCCACAAAATCCCCTATAGGGTGTAGTATCTGGCATACATTAAGTTGGTTTGATCCTGTGTAGAGAGTAATCACATGATAAACATTTATTTCTTTCTAGTATCCTATTTTGCTCCCATCTTCACCCCGTCTTTTATATAACCATTCGTACTGGATTTTCCAATAGCCATTTTTGAAAGTAATTGAAAAAGCCTGTTACTTGTTCGGGACATGCCTCAGTGTCATCTTCGACGTCCTCCGCTGGTGTGGAGCATCAGCCTTAGTGTGTCGGAGCCGAGCTGAGCTCATTAATTAGAACCGTGTGGGACGGGCCTGCCTGTTTGGTAAACAGCTCGGACCCCAGTGAGCCTGAACGCCCGGAGAGGCTCCCTGCACTCGTCCGCTTTCCCCCGTAGCCTTGGCTGTGCCAGTTATGAAAATGTACTTTGGGGGAGAGGAGGAACAGAGGGCTTTAAAAATACCATCAGTATCTTCAGACTTTCTATAGCATAAAGAACATTAGACTGAAAATCAGCAACCCTCCGTTCCCAGATGGCACCACTGTACCAACTTTTCAGGTCACTGACTTGTCATCTTTCTCTCTTTTTTAAAGATTTTATTTATTAGAAAGTAGTGGAGGGAGGGAGGGAAGAAGGAAGAGAGGGAGAGAAACATTGATTGGTTGCCCCTCTCATGCCCCCAACTGGGTGGGGACCAGGCCCGCAACCCAGGGTTGCGCTCTGATTAGGAATCAAATCGGTGACTTCTTGGTTCATAGGCCGACGCTCAGTCCATGGAACCACACCAGCCAGTGCTGAGTTATCTTCTTCCAGCCTTGTTGTCTTTACCTAGAAATAGCCTGCACAGAGCCAAAATCGTGTGCTTTTTAAGGCTGGTTGAGACCACAGCAACCTCTTCTAACTGGTTTGTTTTACATTTGAGAAAACCAGTGTTCAGAAGGGAGAAGGCGGGGCTCAGAGTCCTAAAACCTGGTTACTGGCAGACCCTCGATCTGAAGTCTTGATCCAGCTTCTCTCCAATTATACGTGCTAGCTCTCGTTCTAAAATTTGTTAATTCTAGGATTATGTTTTTTCTCATTGAAATATTTTCGTCAAATGCCATAATTTGTATCTTTTGGAAATGGAGATCGTGATTCTTTTCTGTAGAAAATGAGAAAATGGCAAAATAACATACATCCTTGGGCTGTGTCGTCTAGTTCAGGGGTCTTTATTTTACATTTTTCACAGTGGAGACCTCAGTGCGGATTCGGGGTTGTCTGTGTGCGCACACACGTGCACTCCCCCAGGCGTGTGCGGAGAGAGAAGCGGGGGAGCCTCTCGCGTGGTTGCAGTCTGGTGGAATCTGGAAAGGTTTTCTGTCCAAGAACTGCCTGCGCTCTCCCGGCCCTGGCCCCTGAAGCCAGCGCCGTAATTCCTTCCGTAGGTTAAAGCAGAGGAAACAAATAATGAGGTGTGGAAGGAGGTTCGTTTGGAGAACACATTAAACATTGTCTTCCCTGTGTCTTCAGTTTGGTCCCCATTGGGCGACTCCTGTTCAGTTCTCTTCAGTCGCGTGTGTTCTCGTGACCCAGAATCCTCTCCTTCACAGTCACCATGTGGTTCTCTTTCGTTTCCTGCCTAAGCCAGTGGAAGGCACCCTGCTCTTCCCTTCCCCTTCCCTTGTGGTTTCATTTTGCCTCGCATGCCGGTGTCTTCCTCTTCACTCGTAGAAATGTCCCCAACAAGGTCACCGCGGACTTCCTAGTTGAAGCATTCCGTAAGTATTTCTCAGGCCTCATCTTAAATTTCTGAAGTTGATGCTACTTATTTGTGCTTCTTGAAATTCTCCACTCCAGCACCAGGCCCTCTTGGTTTACCTGCTATACTTCAGGCTTTTGTTTTACTGGCTCCTCGTTGCCTTCCTCTTAAATCTGCTCTTCTAGATGTTTCGGCCCATGTTCTTTCCTGCTCTTCTCACTCACTTGGAGTGGTCTCCTTCAGACTTGCTCTGCGTGCCCCCTGGTGACTAGTCCCTGGAATTTGCTGGAATTTGGCTGGATTTCTCTGCCTCATCTCCTCCTCATATTCTCTGTTGGAATGAGATACATGTTTCTGAGGGTTATCCAGGAATTAGAAACCAAAAGGGGGAAACTGGCAAAGAACGGGAGTTAGAAGGCACGCACTTCAGTATCTACATCATTTTATTATTAGTGGTCTTCATGTAACCCTCATCCCTCTACTGGTTTGTGCAGAATCCGAGACTGGGATGTGATGGGCAACATTTGGCATAAACATTTGGTAACTCGTGAAAGGAAAATGAAACATTTGTCAGATAAATTGTTGTGACTCAGTTTAGCTTGTTTCCAGCGTGAAAATCATCTTTGCAATGTGTGAACGGTTTTGTTCTATTTTATAGCACATGATATACATTTATGAAATTAAATGTATTTCACTATCCAAACATAAATGCTTAAGAAAACATGGAGAATTTTCAACTTACACAGCTGTGACTACTTGATTTATTTACGTCATAGGCAGCTGGGGTTTTGTTTTTTATTCCTGATCTTTAGTACGAGAGTGCTCTGAACAGTGAAGATTTAACAATAGTTGATACATATATCCTGTTAATGTTTACTTTGTTCATATTTTGCTCTCATTTAAAATGAGTCCGGATGGTGGTTTTTTAATATAACTTGTCTCGATTTTAGAATCCATTACTGCTCATGAGAAACTAGGCCTCCTACAAATGTTGCCAGATTGTCAACATTCACATGATGCAGTGCGTTCGATAGGACAGAACGTGCCCCGAAGACATTTGAAAGATAATACTCATGATGCAAAGTGGTGGCTTCCACTTTAACTCTTCCTCGTCAAACCTACGGAGGTTGCATAGTGCTACCCTGTATCCATTCTGTCTGCAAAGGTTCTTACTGGCAAGAAGACATCGGCCAGAGGAACCAGCAGTTCCTACAGAAAAGGAAAAGGCTTATCCTGTGTGTCTTAACATTAGAATGTGATCCAAAGTAACAGTGTTTTTGCCCCTAAAAATCATGATCAAAACCAACCATTCTTTGTGAAGCTTGAAAAAGGAGGCGCAGGGATGTATGTACCGACAAAACTTGATATTTTGGCACTGGCAGATTTGTCTCTGATTCGGTGGGGATTAAATTCTGAGAAATAGAAATGTTTTCTGAGCTTTCAGTTCATCGTCCCTTGAAAAGTTGTCTCTTCTGTTGGTTCTCATTCAAGGTAAAAATTAGCCTGGACAATATAGTAAAAAAAAAAAAAATCTTAGAATAAGGATACAGTTTTTCTGGAGAGGAACAGTTTGGCAAATCTCAAGGAAAAAATTGTTTTATATGAGAATTATTGCTTCAAATCTGAAAATCATTAACAGGACTCATTTGTCCTTGTCATTGGAAAACAGTCTTAAGGGGCTTATTGAAGAATTTGGCACAGAACGCTCTGCTTTGCTGGAGAGAAAGAAAAGCAGAGCATTGTGCAAAAACAATTTAGTTGTATGAAACATGATATTCTCTCATACACATTTTCTAGCCTCGGTTCTACTTTATTTACATAACTTTGGAAGATGCAGTAGCCCAACCAGCTATATATTTCTGGGAAAGAAAGCGTACAGGGTGGGACAAAGGTGGATTTACAGTTGTCTGTGTGAAAACAGTGTGGTCACTAGTAAACAGTAATACTCGAATAAACTCTGTGTCATGTACTCACAACCACTTTTACCCACCCGGTATTTCTGAAACGCTGGGGATAAGTCCATCGTCACGGGCCTGTGTATCGCTTTCTGTGAAGTGGACGCAGAGAAGTTCTCGTGAGCCTCCGCCCTCCCGGAGGGTGAGAATGCCCCGGTTGGAGGTATCTGGGTGCGGCCGGCACTCCAGTGGGGAGAGCTCCCCTCCCACACACACTTAATTTTTTACGTAATATGATTGATTTTCAAATAGGCCCCCTTTATTTTTTTGAGACATGAAAAACTACCCTTGTCATAGCCTTCTGTACTGGAGCGCCCTCCCCGTTCCCTGTTCTCTGAAAAGCACCGTTTTATTTCCATTGTGATGTTTGCACTGACCTGACCCCGCATCAGCAGTAAGCAGGCCCGCCTTTGACTCAGTTCACGGCTTTCTTTCTCCGCAGCATCCAGACAAAAGTAGGCACTTAGTAACATTTGTTGGGAGTTGATTAAGTCAGCAATTTTTCTCTGGCTTTTCCCCCTTGTCCAGTGACTATTTGTTTTAGATGCAGTCAGTACATGTGTGGAGACGTCAACTCCTGCCCACCTCTGGTTTTCTTCTG